GCATCAACATCTGTCTGAACTAGGTGCACATCCCCACCCAGATGTGTGTCACAGAGCTGCTGTTGCTGTTTATTTTCACTCACATGAGTGACTTGTTTTGCAGAAATCCTGCCTTGTTCCAAGATTTGAGGGAATGGAGCATGTTGAGACACTGTGTATTTCCTTTTCTGCCACATCTTTCCCTTTAATCCCTTTGTGAGCTTTGAGATGATGGAAGTTCAGTGGAAGGACTTGTAGTTGTTATTTCTCTTTGAAGCTTCCTGTCAGTAGTAAGGCTTGTTTCAGCTTGCTTTATCAAGGTTGGAACTGATGATTATTCAAACTGGACTGTGTGGTCATGCACAGCTGGGTAGGCTGAGGTTCTGACAAGCTCTCAGATGACAGCACTTACCTAAAACACTTTTCTTTCATCCTGTCTCTATGGTAAGTACATAAAACACTATGGAAACATTGACACTGGGCAAGCAGACCTGTTGTCAAAAGGTGTTAGGGCTCCTACTAATCTGTCTTCAGGGGAAAAAAATTCCTCCCAGCATACAAACTTGGCCACAACATTAGTTACTCAGCTGCTTGGCAGCTCCTTATTGGAAATACTAGGAACAGAATACGGACCCTAATAAAGTGGAGGAAAATTTGGCACGTACTTTGGTTAGCCCTTGATTTCACCATAGGAATTGTGCAGTTCAGAAAAAGGAGCTTTGAGACGTGCCAAGGGTGCTCTTGTCATCACTGGGATGGAGGGTTATTTCTGTGTTTTTATTGATGGTAAGTAGAGAGTGCTTTTTGGCAGAGACTGAAGGCATGAATTTGCCTTTAATGTAGTTTTATTGGCTTGGTTTCTGGTAATTCTGTCCTTTTCACTAGCTCTGAGGAGAGAAGATGCCTCTTTTCTGGTTGTAGGAGAGCTGTTGGGGACTAAAAGACACTGAAGCACCCATTATCTCTTGGAAATAATTTTATGATTCTGCCCATTGCCTGCTTTTTGGAAAATACTCTCCACTCATGAACACATTTGAAATTTTCAGGAAAATAATCGTTGCATGTTTGCAATGGAAGCTTTCAGAAATGTTCCCATCTGATAGAACTGCTCTGCTCCATAAATACTACTAAACTGCCATGAGTTTTCCTGAGATGTCTTAACTCTGTCTGTGGGGATTAGCTTGGCACTGGCTGCTGCTGCTTTCCATGTTTCCTCGCCCTGTACCACTCAACACTTCTGTTGTTGATATGTGATTATGGAATCACTGCCCCTCTATTTTTCCCTTATTTAAAAATAAGCCCTGTACTTCAAGAATAATAAGGTACAAGTTGTCATCTGACTGAAAGAAAGGGAGCTTTGTGGATATTTATAACATGGCTAGTGGCATTTCAGAGCCCTGAGGAAAAACAACACAGTTTCCAGTCTTCAGCAATGTCGGATGTGGCAGAAGGCAGTGGCAGGGATGTACCAAGAAGGGGATTTTTTCCAAGCTGTTACTTAACTGATATTAGCATTTGAAGGCGCATAAGGCCTGACCTTTAATCCTATGTTTAGACTTGCTGATCTGCTTACTTGAATGCCTCATTGTAGTGCTGCAGAATGAAGGGATTGCACCAGACCCAAGAGAAATCTTCTGTCACCAGAACTTGCCTATTTAGGTGTGTGGCTGCCTGAGCCCATCCCACATGTAACATCTGCAAACTCAGAGCTTTCAGATGCACCTCTCTGATCTCTTCTCTAGCTCCTGTCTGAAGTTGCATTTACCAGTGAGGGATCATTCATCTCCAAAGCTCAAGCCTTGCTGTGTGAGCTGACAGAGAGTAGCCCCACAGTTAAAAAGGACAATCCTGACCTGCACTCGTTCCCAAAAGATTCAGTGTTCCTCATTACACGTGGACTTTTTGAAATTCACTTCTATAGCAATTCAAAGCATGGTGCTTAATTAGTTTTATGGGGCTTTAGTGGAAGAGGTTGGTGGGTTTTATTGCATGCATGTGAAAAGCTGGAGCCAAGAATGTAAAATGAAAACCGAAGATGAAGAGCACCGGAAAGCAGAACAGGGTTTGTGAGGCGACCAAGCGTGTATGTGATACTGTGCAAAGTCCCAGAGAGTCTTCTGTCTAAACTGGTAACATACTTCAGTATAAATTTTGAAGTCACAGCTGTTGTGAGAGGCTCCAAAGATATCAGCCATGCAGGAGGGCGAGCTGAGAAATAATTTAAATAGGTGAGACTGATGCACCAAAGCTACTCTGGGGTGCTTGTTGCTGTGAGTTTTCTGGGAACACGCGTTCCACATCCGTGGAGTTTGCCACGTGCTCTCAGCATCAGCCTGAGGGGAGGACTGGAGTTATGGGGTCCAGTGCTCTGGAAAACCAGCCTGCTGAAGAGAGCACATGGTCAGGCTTGCAGGGGTGCTGGGCTGTGCCCCGACTTGTGTTCAAAAGGATGCAAACACAAAATGTTACCACTGTGGTGTTCTCTAGGGGTGACTGACAGCTCCAGACACGGACATGGCATGTCACTCTGCCAGCAGCCTGTGGAAAGCTGTTCTGACGTAGCCAACCCACTTGGCAACAGAGCCATGGCTGGCTCACAGTGCCTGATGACTCAGTTAAGTCCTGGAGTTGTTATTGCAGTGGAAGAAGTCGTTCTGTTCTTTAATTCCTTTGTGCAGCCCATGGATCAGTCGGATGGTATCCTGCCAAGGCCTGTAGTTAGAAGAAATTATAACACAAAGATCTTTTGGGGCTGGGCAAGTCGTGACTGTAGATTCTGCGTTGGAGCTGACGGCCCAGGAGGGTTTTCTTTTGCCATCAGAAAGTTTACCAGCAGTTCCAAATGCAGCTTCCTTGGTTACTGCTCAGTGCAGCAGCTGGAGGCACTCACTGCCAGCCCACCCACATCAGCAGGACAGAGCACGCACGCCTTCATCCTTTTTTCCCCCTGCTGATTTATCACGTGCTTTCCTTATCCAGGAGACCAGATCACCAGAGCTCTCATCTTCCCATTTCTGTTGCAGACTCATACCAGAAGCTCATGGCTTACCAGAGCTCTCATCTTCCCATTTCTGTTGCAGACTCATACCAGAAGCTCATGGCTTCGTCCTTCTCCTCTACTCTCTGTCAGGTTTGTCATGCTTAGGCAGAGGTAGGGCTCATGTGCTGCTTGGGAAGCCAGGGTCATAGCAGGAGCACCAGTGGTTTTATTTTACATCTGGTTTGGTTTTTGGTTGGACACCGTGATAAATGTGAGTTGCAGTTATGCCAAAAATCTACCTGGAGGGTTCATGTCTGTAAAATGGACTAATACATAACTTGTGGTAGAGTCTGTTGTGCCCTGGGAGTTTGCACAAATGCACTTTTGCTTCACAGAGCTTATGGTGGTTTCCCTTAATTATCTTTATGCTTAAATAGAGTTTTGGGCAATTTTGAGACACACAGGATTTGTTGTCACTCTCACAAACTGAGTTGTATCAGAAGTAACAGTGTGTAATCTGATTCTGCATCTCATCTTCTTCCCTGAATTATTTTACCTGTTTAAGAGCACAAAGGTGCCCTTCTTTGTTATTCAGAGCAGTAGGAGCCATGCAGCCCTCTCCTTTTTCTTGCTTAAAGGTTGCCTGTTCCAAGCACTTTGCTGAACAATCACAAAACTCCTGATGCAATATGAGGCTGAAAAAGGCACTGAAAGCCATCTTCCAAGTCTGGCTCTAGAAGCTGACCCATCCCTTGCAATGCAGAGGCAAAGCTGCAGGAAGAGAGCATGAAGATGCTGCAGGAGAAGAGCATGGAGATGCTGCAGCGTTTTTGATAAAGAGGGGGCAGGAGCAGGGTTTGCAAGGAGGGAAGCAGGTTGGAGGGGTTCCTTAGTCTTTGGGCTGGCTCTCCCTGGAAGGTGCTGGGTGATTGAGGATTCGCTGGCCTCTAGTGGTGATGCTGGGGAGAAGCTACGAGAAGCAGCTGTGTTATCTCTGTGCATGCTGCTAGGTGTGCTAAAAGGCAGGTAGTGCTACAAAACATTTCGGGTTTCAACACTCACTTCACTCCTGAAACAGCTCAAGGAGGTCCTGAACTCCTGTGCAGGAAGTCCCTTGATTTTTGCAGTGTCTGTTTTAGACCCTTGGGACCTGAGGGATTTACAGTGTCTACACTGAGAATGGGTGATTTTTTAGATCACTGTAAGCAAATTTTATAGAACCAGAGTGCAAGAGAAAAATGAAACTTAATCTTATAAAGCAATCAGAAGTTAATAGCAAAACTTTGTAAAGAGATGAATCATAGAATCCTAGAAGGGTTTGGGTTGGAAGGGACCTTGTTGTGACAGGCACAATGTCATATACAGCTCAATTGTGAGAAACTTGTGGGAAATTGATTTCAAAATAAATTTTAATAGATCAGGACCGGAAACCAAACAAGATGTGTTATGGTTTGGTTTGTTGTTTTTTGGGGGGTGGTTTGGGTTTTTTTTTCAAGTATGAGTTTTTGTCGCTGTAGTGTCTGTGGCTAAATGAAAATGCACAATTTCATCAAGTAGGTTCCCCAACAAAAGGTGCTAGTAAGCTCTTCTCAATTAAATGCCCATCCCTTTGAATTTTTCCTTCCCTTCTTCAAGCCTGCCTTCCTTGATCCTTGTCTTCCTATATCTCTCTATCCTTAGTCTCAAATAATCCACTTTATTAAGATTCAGAGTACATTTAGGGCCTTACCCCTTTGAGAAAGGAGTGGAAGGAAGATTAAGTTTTCATAAGAGCTTTTGGTTTTTTCAATATATTTCAGCCTTTGACAAAGACATTCATATTCATCTCTGGTATTGCCATTTCTGTAAGCCATGCTATAAGTAAATAAATATTCGTAGCATATGGGTGCCTCCCAGGACTCCCATTTCACCTTTTAAAATGCTGAAACAGACCCCACTCAGCACAGAGTGCAGTTTTGGTTCAGATCTCACTGCAGAACTGTGAAAGCAAAGAAGGTGGTTAATGCCATGTGCTAACGATGTTGTGGTTTTCTGTTGCCAGATGTGAAAGGACCACCCACCCACAGACTGTCCTGTGGCCAGTCCCCCTACACTGAGATGACAACATGGGAGAGGAAATACTGCATTCTGACAGACAGCCAGCTGGTGCTGCTCAACAGGGAGAAGGAGGTGAGACAAGCTCGTGTTGGTGCCTCAGTATCTGCCCTTTGGCTCTTATTGGTAAGAGGAGAGGGCAGCTTTCTTCATCTCCCCTTTACTTCGCTCACAAATCCTTTGAAACGTGCAACAGGTCAAAGGGAATTTAAAAAGAAATTCTTTACTGCCAGATTGATGAGACACTGGAACAGGCTGCCCAGGGAGGTTGTAGATGTCCAAGGCCAAGCTGGATAAGGCTTGAGCAACCTGGTTTGGTGGGAGTTGTCCCTGCCCATAGCAGGGAATTGGGATAAGGTGATCTTTAAGGTCCCTTCCAAGCCCTTCCCATTCCATGAAAAGGGGAGCTAAGCTATCCTGTGTGTGAATGGGGTGGTGCACACAGTTATAATCCAGCTGGCACAGTAAAGGTGACAGCAGCCAAAGTTCAAACTCCCTCCTGGAGTTCTGCAGCCTGTGTTTGTCTGCCACCGTGTCTTCCTATGTTACTACTTCTTTTAATGGTAGGTAGAGCCACCACAGGTGTGTAAACCTGCCTCTTGATGTCAGTGCAGGCATAACGATAGGGAAAAGTGAAGGCTTTTTATCCATGAGTTTTAGTCTAATACCACAGTTTCTTATATTTGGCAATGATCCCAATTTTTGTGGTTTTTCTTGATTCTTTTGAAGCTTCTGTATACGGCTGTTACAGCCTGAGAGTGAGACCTGTTTCTGGTGTGGAACAAAATATTAGTCAGCTGTCCTCAGGTTTATTTGCAATGAAATATTGCCTTGCATAGGGAGAGTGGGAGGAAATGGTTTAGAGAAGGACTTGAGTTATTAGAAGGGACCAGCTTTAATGCTGATGTGTGGGAGAGGTGATCAAACGCAGGCAAAATGGAAGGCCCATTTAATGGTATTTGTTTACTATGTAATTCCTTTTCTAGTCTGACAGGACTGACACCTGAGGAATTGAAGTATACACTAAAGAAATTTAAGGAGATGTGAGAATCATTTCTAAAACAGTCCTGTACCAGCATAGCTGGACAAAAGGATACATCTCATTAGGAAATGTAATTGAAACAACACTGGCTTGTATCACAAATAGTTACCTGAAGGTGGTAATCATGCACTTAGGAGGTCTTATTTCTCCTACCACAGACAGCTGAAAGTATTTTGCTGGGAGTAATATGAGGCTTTTGACTAGATTCTGAGGAGTAAATGTGTGAAGTCCAATGTATCACATCATTATATTCTATGTTTAAATACACTCTGGTTTTTGTCAGAAGCTGAGGAAATTCCATATAGACTATAGAGGGCCTGAGGCTTAAGTGTAGCAATAACCTCAGTGGTGTAAACAGTAGTGTAGATTCTTGCAGTGTGCTTTCAAAGGGATCTTCCTGCCCTACCACGATGGGAAATAGCTTCTTTTGGGAAATGCTGCTCGCAGATGGGCCAAGCAGACATGCCTTTGGTGCAGGTGTGACTCCACATGCTGATAATGGGATTTGTTTCAGAAGCCTGTAGCTCGAGTCAGATTTGCCATTCTGATTTTCAAGTAATTTGTGACTACTGTGAAATGAAAGGAAAAAGGGAACTCTTTGCAGAGCCATGGGTGTTCAGTAGGAAAATAAGGGGTTGGTTTAGTCTGGCTTCTGAGTCTGGACACACAGTCCCCTACAGAAACACACAACATTTAGAGCTGCCAGTCCGGAGAGAGACATGGAACTGATACTCTGGATTTACACTTTCTTATAATTTTTCTGAGCTAGGAGTATCCCTTTACAATCTTCCTGAGAAAAGGGAGGGGAGGCAACACAGTTAAATTTTTCTTGGCAAGTCATTCAGAGTTGAAAGAGGCTTCATGAAATGTGATCCAGAAACAGGAGTGCACAAAGGCCTAAGGCAGCAGTGGGGCGAGATGCTTGTTAAGAGCATGATGATGGAAAAGTCTGTATAAGGGGAATCATAAAAAGATCCTGGGTGGGACCACAAGTGCAGGGAGCCTAAGCAAAGACCAGGTGAACAAAGAAGAGGGAGGTTACTTTAAGAAAAAAATGAAGATTATGTTCAGAGTAAAATTATTGGAAAGGTGCTGCTGGAGGAAGCGTTTTGTTGACTCAAACTAGGTGATAGGCAGGAGGGGCAGGAGAGATTCCTGCTCTGAACATGGTCATTACTGATAGAACGAGCAGGGCAGAATTCCTTTGGGGTGCTGAGGAGGATCTTGGAAACAATGCTCAGGACAGAGGGATACCCACCAGTGAGTGAGAGGGTGTGGGGGAAGAAGGAAGAAATGGCAACAGCAGAGTGCCCTTGCAGCCCAGAGGGAGTGATGGATGCCTGGAGAGGCTCCCTGGGACAGAGGCTAGGCAGTGTTATGGAATAAAGTAGGGATTTATTAAAAGGTGTTCACAGGATACACCTTGGGCAGTACAAGAGCCTGGCTGAGGCTACACCCACGATGGATCCCATGAGTTTTCACACTTTTGTAAGTTTTGGTCCATTTCCATATTGGGGTTAATTGTCCATTTACAGCTTCAGGTTATGCAGTTCCATCCTCTCAGTTTGCTCTCCTTAATTCGCTTTCGTTTTTACTTTTTGGGCCTGAAGCTGCACTGGTGTCCTTGGTTCTGGGGCTGGAAAATGATTGTTTTGTCTAATTAAACTGTGAAGAGAACTTGCTAATACTTTATATGAAGTTCAGAGTTACCTATTAATATAGAACAGAATCTGGAAAATATGAAAGCTCAACCTTGAGGCATCAGGAGTACTTGAATCATTGCAAGGCTGACATAAATTGAAAGGTGTAAGTCTGAAACCTCTTATTTTATTCTCTGTCCATCTGCTTTGTTACTTTGTGGAATAAAATCCAAGAAGCTTGGCCTGTGTGAGTCTGGAAGGGAAAAGAAATGTGTGTTTATACTGCTTTGTAATATTCTTCCGCAGTGTGTGTGTCCAAGTTAGAAAGTAAAAACATAAACAAGAATTCTCCACTGTTTCACTTATAATGCTAAATTTGGGGTTTTTTCAGTTAGTGCTGCTAAAATACAGCATTATGAATTGCAGATTTTTAAGACCAAGAGAATAGTACAGAAATAAACAGTGTAGTAGAGAACTAATTTCTCATAGTGTCCCACCACTATGGATTTATTGTCAAGGCAGTTTGAATGAGGTATATGCAAGAGAAATTTTGTGCACAGCAGGAGTAGGTTGAAAATCAGAGGCCTTTTGAAGTGCAACTTGATCCAAAGATATCTGTAATTACTTAGACAAAAATAGTCTGGCAGTATCACCTTGTGTAGTGTAGAAAAACATTAATTACTTGACACCTTGTCAACTTCATAAAATGAGAATAGGTGAGACTGAAGAATGAAAATTATTAATGAAAGGAAGAGTTCAATGCCTAAAAATTAAATAGAAAAAAAATTAATCCCTGTAGGAACGTGGGAGATGACTTGGCAAATAAGGAGTCCTGAGTGACAGGAGGTGTGCAATTATTACACAGTGTGATAATATTTAACAGCATTTTCCAAGACAAGGAAAACAGGCCTAGATTGATGCCCACACAAATCAGGTATTTCTTCTACAAGGAAGAGTTTCTCCTGGCTGGAAGGTGTAGATGTTTTCTTCTGCTCTGGGAAACCTGTTCCATCAGGTGGGAGGAGCTGTGAGGGCACAGTAGATATGTCTGTAAAGTCAGAGCCATTTAAAACAGGGAAAGGGAATGAGTGTTCATGAGGAGTGGTTCCAGGCACACAACACTGTGCACAGCACTTCCACTTGGAGGGAAATGACAAATGGCTGCACCTTGCTTTGGGCTGCTTTTTTAGTTGGGCTTTGTCAGCAACTTGGCTGCAGTCCTGCAGAATGTTTTAGTCTTGTGTTCACTTGGAAATGAAGATGAACAACATTTTTCACTGTGTTAGACTCTTCTTTTTCCCTTTCCTGCACCCAAACATCATCTTTCTTCTTATTTAGAAGTTGATTTTTAATCAAGGGCAAAGGATAGCAAAGACCTGCATGAACTGTGACAAGATCTACTGCTCACTGGTGCTGGTGACAGAGGCCAGCAGCAGCAGCACACCTGGGATGAGTTTTCCTACTCTTCCATCTCCTGTGACTGACACCAGTATGGTGATCACAGTGGTGATCCCAAGGGAGCAAACACTGCTGCATGGGGCCCTAGGGGAAGCTCTTTCCAGATCTCACTGCCCTCTTCAAAGGAGTTGTCACAGTGGGGGTCTTACAGCAAACATGTTTCACCTGTAAATAAGTTTGTCAAAGCTGAACCTAGCCATAAGGTAAGATTAATTCCCAAGCAAGTTTAATTATTTAATTTCTAAAAGCTCAGATAAATGTTTGCTGTCAACATTTTTAAGTGGATTTCCATGTCAAAATTTTAGTTAGCTTCTAACTTTCTGAAGAAAGGTAAAAATTAAAATTAATTACTTAACTTGACATGATTCCAAACTTTCTGACTGTTAGATCAGAAGAGTTTGCAAGTTCTCAAGTTTGTCTTGAACCACTCTTTCTAATCTTGAAAAATCTTATCTGCAATGAAGACTTCTTTCTTCATCTGTTTTTTTTTTAAAGAGACTATCTCATAGTTTGCCTTTAAGAGGCATTAAATGCTTGGAAAGCTCTTACTCCTATTTCTTCTGAAATTCCCTCATCATCAAACTGCTAGAAATCCTCAATACAGACTTCTTATATTTAAAAAGTATGTTCAGTGGCAGGTGAGCTGGGATGCTGTTCAAAGATTTAGAGTCTGAGTTCTGAACCCATCCTCATTAAATTGTGAAATTTGTCATGGAAACGTGACCTGTGATGAAAATTGTTAAGATTGCTAAAATGATCAGCATCTGGACTGTCCCTGTGTACCTTTGTATCACAGAATTAACACTGCTCAGATCCCAGTCCTGAACCAGCAGCTTCAGCATGTCAGTTCAGAGTCAAAGAATTCACAGGTTGGTGAACTCTCAACAGGGAAAGAAGAGGATAAAGCTGAATAGGGGAAAAAATAGCTGAAAGACTGAATCACCATTAGAGTCCTGACTCTGCAAGGCTCTGTCATTCCCTTCAGTCTTTTGCTGAGCTGCCTGCTGGACTGGTGGGGGCTGAGGAGTGGTTGGGAAGGTTGCAGATGTCCACCTTGGTCTTCACATGATATTTATTTGTGCACTTCCTTGTGTTTTGGTGCCTCCCCATCCATAAATCCATTGTCTGACCACAGAGCACTTTATAGAAGTGTTTAAAATGTGCCCAGTCCCAAGAGATGCAGAGCTGCTGACCAAGCTGGTTTTACTTGTTCACAAAGCTGTATTTTTTTAGAGCAGGCTGGTCTCATGCTAAGCAATAAACACTGGTCCTGCAGTCTTAGCGTTAGTTCTTTTTGTCAATATAAGTCAAGACTGTGGTTTTGTAGAAGTTTTACTGTAAATAACAAAGCATTTTTAAGTCAGACTTAAGGGTAACTTTTTGAGTTACTTTAGTGGGGAAATCAATGCTGCAGTAGCTGTATTGGTCTCGAGCAAGCAGTGGGTGTAGAGGCAATGAGTTCACTGTGACAGGAGTGTGGCAGGGGTTTAAGGGGTGCTGAAGCAGGTGTGTGGTATGACTGGTAATAGCTGATCTGGAAGTCTGGCTCACAGCATCCCACCAAAAAATTCTCTGAAAGAAATTGGGAGAAGCAGAGGATCAGGAGCATGTTTAGAAGGGATTAAGACTAAATAGAACCTCCAGATGAGAACTGAAAGTTTAATATGTGAATTTGGTTGAACATATGTGGCATAAACTAACAAAATTAGTCTCTGTTTAATTTACCAACGTGCTTTTGCAGAAGAGCTTAGACAGCCATAAGAATCACCAGAGAAGACAATAGTCTGATCAGAATAAGGACCAGGAGTTTGGGAAACTTGTTTTGGAAAATGGGCACTGTTTGAAGGAGACAATTAGACCAGAATAGTAAAGCATTAAAAAAATACCTTAAGAGAATGTTAAGTGCTTAGTAATCAGGAAATGCCAGAACTAGTTTTGAGAGCCATTGTAGTATGCAGCCTGTTTCTAAATAATGCAATGTCTCTGAGATCTTTTACAACCTTCAGTGCAAATGAATGATAACTTTTTGTTTGCTATTAATACTCATTTTTCAGAGTTGATGGAAGATATGAAAGGATAAGCAGCACAGGAAATAGGCAGGGGCTTCTATTTCTTTAGGTGCCAGCTGTGTGTTATGTAGCCATACAAAAAGAAATTGCCATGCTACGTGTACTGCAGTTGTACTGTTAGAACCAGTCCTCATCAAAAGTGCACTGAGATGGTTTGTGCCTCCTCAAGTCCCTGGGTGCTAAATGTCCCTCATCCCTGAGGTTTCTTCCAGCTGGTGGAAGGTTCAGAGGAGCCCCACCCAGCCACAGTTTTCAGGATTGTAACAGGCACCAAGAGCTGTGGTGACCCCTAGAGAAGGCGTGGTGGCCAGTACCGAGCAGCACAGTTGCCTGCGTGGCTGCAGGTGGCACGTCTCTGGGTTGTAGTGACCACGAATCCAGTGGTTCACCAATCCTGAGCTCAGCTACTCCCTGACCATGCCAGGAGCTGCTGGGCCATGTCCATCAGCATGCTGCTCAGTGGTCTCCATCTTTGGAGGAGGCTCTCTGCCTGTACAGCGCCTTTGTCCACCAGGTAGCTGTCGCAAGTTTTGTTTTCTCAAGGTTTTGCCTGGAACCATTTTAGCAGCAGCCTCTGCCTGACTTTGCCAGCGTGGAAGCAGCCGTGGTCTGGCACTGGGGAAGCAGTTTGGAAAGGCAGGAGTGCTTTGTTAGTCGGGGGGTCAGAGGCTGCTGGCACCTGCTCGTGCCCATCGCTGGGCTGAGCGTGCTCTTGGCCGCCGCTGCGCTTTCCCGGGAAGCCTCTGGAATTTTGTGTTGAAGCCACAAATGCCAAACTATGCCCAAGAGCTATCAGCAGATAATGAAGTCCCCTATCAAGGTGGCATATTAAACAGCGTGGCCTGGTGCCGAGTTAACAGCTGTTGGCATGGTTTTTCTGCAGGTGCCTACAGAAGGGATCCCGGAGCCGCAGGATGCTTCCCGCGGGCGCTGCCTGCGCCGCACGGTCAGCGTCCCCTCCGAGGGCCAGTTCCCCGAGTACCCGGCAGAGGGGGCCGCCCAACTAGGTAAGAAAAACCATGAGACATCAATCAATCAATCAATCAATCAAACAGTTGAGCTGCGAGCTCTCCGAGGGCAGCACCCTGACAGAGCAGCCTGGCTAGGTGGGTACCACCACAGGATGTGGAGGTTGCGCAGCCCAGGCGTTGTGTGTAAGTGCCTTCAGCAAAGTGACTACCAAACACCAGGATTTATCCAAATATCAGGGAGATGGTTATGGGATGCTGCTGGAGGAGCATGGCCCACAGGGAGCTTTGTGGCTGTGTTTTTAAACTCACTAGGTAGCCCTGAAATTAAAAGGGGAGAGCTGCTGGATGCGGATCAGTAGGAATGCAGCTCTTGTGGATGGCTCTAAGTGGTTCATGCTGGTTTAGAACTGTTAGTTGGTTATGTTTTACCTTACCTCTGGAATTTCCTTTGCTTCATGTTTTCACAACAAGCACCGAATAACAGGTTTTTCTGTAGCTTACCTCATGCCTGTTCAGGGTGCCATTCCTAAAAGAAGCAGCCGTCTGCCTGCTGTTGGCTATAATTATCCGTGTTGAAATTTAGGCAAAGCAAAAGCAAAGATAGGTATTAAAAAGGACAGACAAAGGCTCTGTTGCAGTGGTTCCCCAAGTCCAGGTTTGGCTCTGTTCCCCCTCTTTTCCACCCCACCTGTGGCTGCATAAAGAGCATCATTCCATCTCTTCTGGGGAAAAAAAAAAGGAAGAGGCAGCAACCACTTCCTTCTCACACACAGATGAGCTCTTCTTTCACTTGCCAGCCTACGTAAGAAGCTTTTCTTCACTTAGGCTGGTGAGACTTAGGAGCAGTTCTTCCCTGGTTCAGCTGTGAAAAATATCACTCCTGGGGAAGTAGCTATGAGGAATAAACATGCATCTGTAAATAGTAAAGCAGCCTTGATAGCTGCTATCCAAGGTGAAGAGCAGATAAGGTATTTTGCATTTCACAGACTCAGCTAGTTTTTTTTTTTTTACTAAGTATTTCATTTTGCAAGTATATTGCACACAAGTAAGGAAAATCCCATCCTTGTAGATAGTTAATTAACACATTGAACTGTATATTTATTTGTACTTGTCAATAGGACTGTTTAATTCTTCCTTATTTGAGGAAGGCAGATAAGGTTCTTTTTTATGTCTTAGATTAAGATTGGAAGTCTGAAAATAAACAGGGTTAAGTTGGGTATTTAGGAGGGAAAACTGCAAAATTCTTTGAGATGAGCAACATGAAAAGAGCCCTGGCTGGATTTGTTTGTGGCATTCCAAATGCACCTCTATATGATAATTTTGTTTTGTCATATGAATAAATGTTCATTCTTGTTTGGAACTAAGCCTGGTATTAATCATGTTTACATTGTGTTGTAGGCAAAATACTTACTCCAGGTATATGGCTAGTGATGTGAATGAAGAATTATATTGCAGCCAGTCTGCAGCAGGCAATGAATATTTATACCTTCACAAACTAGAAAGACCTTTAAAAATCTAAGATTTAAATGCCTTCTTCTTATTCTATACCATGTGCAAAAATGAGTAGATTTTCTAGACTTCTCTGAGCATCTCAATAGCTGGAAATCCCAGTGCTAGGTTTTTAAATGGAGCCTTGTAACATTCTTGATTTTTCTTGAGGGCCATAGAGAATGGATGACTCTGCTATTTGGTATCTGCCTTGCTGTATATTTTGCTTCAGTTTTAGATGCAAGTGGCATCTT